GGCGCCCGCGGCCCATGAAGTAGAGAGGATGCGCCTCAAGCCGCAAGGTTGGCGGTTCAAATCCTGGCTGCTCCATGTCTCGTGTCAAAGCTGAGCAAGACACCGAACGCCTTACTGCTCCCCAGACAAAATGTAAAACCGTGCGTTAAAAATGAATTCTAAGTCGCTTTGGATAGAAGCATCAGCTAAAAGACATATAATGTAAATCCCTACTTTTAATAAGAAATAACATATACACATAAACACAGGGATAATAAGCAGTAATGACCATGTGGTCATCTGAATTAACAGATTTTACTTAATGAATCAACTCGACTGATCCTACAGGGAGGAAGAGTGAGTAGTAAAAGTGACTGGGCTCTTTTTTGGGAAGGATTTGAAATGTGTTTATCCAACAGTGTGTGTGTGCTGAATGAGCCATCTGGTGCTATGTTTGGTGTCTTCATTGACATACGACACCGCCCTCTGTGGCTGGGGGGGTTACACCTGTTGTCATCACCCCAAACTAAAACACCCGAGGATTCATTTCTCATTCAACCAGAACCAAGAAGACCTTTCAAAATGAAAGCACTGAAACCATAACATGACTAAAAAATATACGGTCAGTACAAATGTGGCAACACTGCCCAACACACCCGCCTGACAAACACTGGACACACACCTCTCAACCACCGACCCCCCCGCCCATCGGTACACCCTGCTGTATAAAGCGCAGCAGCAGCAAAGCCGGGCTGCTGACACGTCGCTCCAGCTGCTGCTGCGAGGATTACCGCGACCGGCTCGCTCTGTACCATCCCGTTCTTCCCCTCCGCCACTCATCCCTCCATCATTCCATTCACTCAATCCGCCGTTGTCACGGTATGTCGCACGGTATGACCCCGTTCTCCCCACCAACACACACATATTACACATTTACAAACACGCCTGTGTGTGTGTGTGTGTGACAAATCAATGTAGAAAATAACTCCACTCCACATTTCGGAGCATCTGTGGGGGGTTCGTTGCTCAACTTTCACCCTGACAAAGTACTGCTCAGGCAGTTGATTAGATGTTTAGGGGTCAGATTGTGTTGCTCAGTTCCAAAGGAGCCGCCGGGATGTGTGGACTCGCTCGCCAGCAGGGAAGAGAACGGGCCTCGTCTGGTTGGTCTTTGCTGAACGCCGACACACCCCAGTGCTCCTCTGACCAATAGATCGCCGTCTTAACAGGACCGAACTTTTGGGTAAACAGAGCTCAAACAGAGGAAACCTTGGTAGACGTGTTGTACGGTCCGTTATCAGCCCCTCTGGGAAATCAGAATAGCCACAGACCAGACAAGGGATTGATTATTGGAAAAAAAAGGATCACTAGCTGCAGCCCCAGAAGGCTTTGCGTGCTCTTAGCAATCAGAGCTGTGCAACATATTGACTGAAAAATCCTCACTAAATAACTGATGGAAAACCTTGGAGGCCAACCTCGAGTCGGGAAGAGGATCAAATCATCTCAAATTTAGAAATAATGAATACCTCCATTCCCTTGTTTGCTAAATCCCTAAACAAACCCGGACCGTATTAAAAGAAAACAAATCATATGAGGCTGAGCAGCGCGAGCTCAAACCTGACAGGACCTGGCGTTCTACGTCCGGCCACTCCCCAGGACGCGAGCGTGCTTCGCCTGCCAGCGTCAGCCAGAGTCGGCTGGGCGTGACGGCGTCATCAATTACACGCTCCTGACGCCGGTAAAGGAAAGACGGATGGTGGCACATTCAAGCTCAGCTGATGCTCGAACACCAAACAGCCGACGTGGTTACAGGGAATTTAAAGCTCCGCGCTATAATGAGCCACATTGATTTTACAGTAAGCGGGTTGGATGCTAATGGGAACGCATTACCGGCTGTACTGGAGCCATTTACAGCCGCGTGGAGCATCGACCGCCGCGGGACAAGCTGTTCGCTGCAGGAGGCCTTGCTGATTACATCCACTGATGCTACGGTCTTGATCATGTCGGAGCTGCGGTCCAGCCGTTCTGTAAAGTCCTGGACTAAAGCGCCCTCGCCAGCAGCGATGTTTGGCAGCGCAGGAGCAAAGGGATGATGGATTTCCAATACTTCCTTATTCCTAGACGGAGGCCGGTACGAAGCCGCCGGCCGGCCTGGAAGAGGGGGTACATCCCCCCCCAGTCTCACCCCCGCCTTTTCTCTCCTCCTTGAACTGGGCAGCTGCCAAATAAGCTTCAACATATGAGGTTGCGTTGCTGCAAATGCCCCCTGTGACACATTGCAGGATGATTGATGACTCCCGGTCACGGTGCGCAGACACGGAGAAGAACGCGTCGATTTATTTTCAGTGGCTCGCGGCTCCACTCAACAGACATTCCACGGGCTGACAATAATTCTGTTTTTTCTCCAGCCGAGTAACTCGAGGAACCTGTATCTTCAGTTGGGTCCATTCCTTTCCTCCTCATTCGTTCATTCAGTCACCCTTGTCTTCCATTAATTCTTCCTCCTTATATCTCCATTTCTTTAATATGAGTTTATTTTTATTTAATGAACGTGACAAATGTACTTATATTGTATTCATTTAGAGCCTTAATATTTGGTTTACCATTGCAAGCACTGCAGTATAGAAAAAAAGAAGAAGAAGAAAAAGACCTTTCTTGTGACCTCCATCATCTTCTCTCCATCAAAACCCATATAATTAAGAACTTTCAAAAGTATTCTCAGTTTCTCCTGAGACTCCCCGAAAAGAAAGGCGACCTTCTGTGTTTCCTGCTGTGGGCCACGGCACGGTTATTCACTTAATCAGAATACTATTCCAAAAAGAGCAAAAATAATTCCTCCAAAAGCTCGAGTACAAAGGCAGGATACAAACCTCTAAATGCTAAACGACTGCAATGCAACACGATCAATCCAGTTGTTACGCAGATATATTCCTTCACCGTACCATTAGATAAAATGTTGAGATTATTTCCCTCAGCATCCAACTACTGGCCACTGTGGTAAAACCATTCATCATAAGACCATGAATGACATTTTTCATGACTGTAAATACAAGTTACCACCTGCAGCAAACGTTACCACGGGATCAACACACAGGATGCAGGATATGTGCCGTTTTATTCTTTCATTTATCTGGCCCAAACCTAAAATGAGTTTGACACCCCTCGTCGAATTCCTCCATTGCAGCGTCCTTGAATAGAAACAATGAGAGTGGTATTTGATGTTGGTGAGAAGCCGCCGGGCCATTTAAACACTGGTAAAAGGTGAAGACTGGCACCACAGCACAAAGTGACGGGTTGGGCCAACGCGTTTATGAAGACAGATGTTCCTCTTCTTTTTTTCAATGGCAAATTTCATCCATGGAAATATCTGCTCACAGTGGCACGAGCCCTGCTGTGGCATTTCTATTAAAGTTAAACCCTTTTCACGGTAGCGAGTCCTCTTTACAAGAGTCCGGCCTTCTAATTTAGGACCCACAGTAACACGACTGCCTCCAACCATAGAGAACTTTGAACAGAAGACTGCAGACGCAGGCAGCGTCTGGGAAGCTGTATCAAACAATTGAGAGTGATGTCGCGTCAAAGGTCACCAGACACCAACAAACACGGGGCCATTACACCACAATTAAAGTTGTTATATTATGAACTTGGCCTGCTGAAGTCAGCATATCCCAGAACTGCCAAATCCTGCCGGATATCTTTAGCAGCCTTACCACAAAGCAACGAGACAATTCAGGGCCTCGATTGGAACAGGTCCATAATGAATTCAGGGCCTTAGATCAGTTGTTCCACCTCTTTTTTTCCCCCGCTCAGTAATCTGGCTGGGGGAGGATTGGAGAGTAATCTGGATTGAAGGAGGGAGACAGGGAGGGTGGGAGACAATCCTCTCTGCTCTGATTCCTTATTATATTATCGATTTCAGTGGCATAATGTGTAATAATGTTCCAGTGCAGATGTGAACAATAGGGTCCCATTTTAATAATTAATGGTTAATGACAAAGGCTGGTCACAAAAACAGGATACCAAAAGAAAGTATCGTTTTATGAATAATACAACTACTTTTGTTTTGTGTAACACATAAAAGAGGAACGTAGTTTTCATATAATGCATAATGTGAAGTTCGGTTGAACAAATTAATTCAAAGTAGACCTTTTTCCAGCCTACCAAACTTATCAGCTTTGACTGCACGCTCAATCATAATACCCCATGATAAATGAGCAGACATAAAGGCCATGAGATGCAGCTAAAAGGTATGGAAAAAATACATCAAAACAATGAATTGAGTCCCAGTTGTATTTTAAAAAATGAAATTTGTATTACTATTATTATTGTATTCAAAATAAGACTTGGTTCATCACGTAGGGGTCTAGATTTCAACCACAGCCTGTGAAGCAAACTCTCAAATCCAAATGTGTTTTGTGTTGTACGGGTGCGCACGAGATCAACGCACGGAGCATTAAGCGAACCTCGCTCGTTTACGGTACCTCGTACACTTTACGACACCAGCAACGTTGGTGTTCAGTCACTTCTCGCGTGCAGTGCACGAATGGACAGACGCAGTACTGACGGAGTCAAGCTCCTTGGCGGAACTTCGCTCCTCTTTCCGCTCTGACGGTGCAACGTCACCGCGCGGTGCGGGAACATCGGGAGAACCATATTCAGTCACACGTGACCCACCCACCTTCGTAGTCGCCGTGGGGGGTTGGAAGATCATAGTTGCGGCGAGCTAAGAGACGTTCGGGAAAGTTTCAAGACAACTGCCTCTGGCTGGAAACTTCCAAACTGGCCACGAATATTAATACTGCGCGTGCAGCTGACTGATACGCAAAAGTACGAGTTTACGAAGAGCACCTGAAGGGACCGTTACACCACTACACTGTCGATCACTCCTCCCAAATCACCGTCATTTCACTGCTACGAAGACCGTCCCGCGGCCGGCGTTCTTGCTCCACGCAAAGAGAAAACAGCGCGGGCTCCCCACGCACTCTGAGTACAACACAATGTTCGTCTGTAACGTGACTCACCGTTAGTTGTCTTTTTTTGGACAATTTGTTGAGAATCCGAGAGCGTCGCTGTCACCGCTGCGATCCGCCCACCCAAGTGGCTCTCCGCTCGCTGCAGACTAACATGCTCCGCCCCGGAAAAGATCTGCTCCAATCAGATTTTGAGGCCGTTGACTGACTTCCTTGTTAGCCAATACAACCTAGGCTACACTGTGAGTGACGACGTCATTGTCAAATCACATCTTTGAAACACCGGGCCGACCCTCCGTCGTCAATAAATGCACTTTTGACTGACAACTTGAGCATACAATTAAGAAGTTTGACTCCTTTTACGGGACGTTTCCCGTCCAATGGCGATGGAGGGAGGTTATGGACACGGCCGAGGCTCAGGAAGACGCCCTTACACCGCCCGGATCACTGGAATGGCAAATACAGATACTCCTGTTAGAAACTAGAGACTGCACGGGTATATTCACCTGTATTGTCGATGGTATAAATAGTTATACCACTTGGTCCTATTATTTTATATATTTCCAATAAAACACTCATAGTTGGAAGCACAAATGATTAAAGACAAATCACAAAATGTTTACAATGAGATGAACTAATTGCGGATGATACGCGAGAAATGTAAGAGCAATATTTGAATCTATGTCTATTAAATGCCAATTTCCTCTCTGCATCGACAAAATCCCCCCATAATAGCCAGTCACATTGAAACAAATAAATATATATATATATATATATATATATATATATATATGACCTTTGAGTACACGCATATTTCAAATCGAAAACTTCAAATGTTTCACCTTGTTATGTAGGTTTAGACTTCCACCTTGTGGCAGAGATGGCAAATATCCTCCATGACCCGCTTCCATGTTAGTCTGCATACGGAGTGGGGAGAACAAGTATTTGATACACTGCAGATTTTGCAGGTTTTCCCACTTACAAAGCATGTACGAGTCTGTCATTTTCAACTGTAAGTGGCGGAATCTAAAACAAAAATCCAGAAAATCACATTGTATGATTTAAAAATATATATTTTGCAGTTTATTGCATGACATAAGTATTTGATCACTTACCAACCAATAACAATTACGGCTCTCACATACCTGTTAGTTTGTCTTTAGGAAGCCCTCCTGTTCTCCACTTATTACCTGTATTAATTGCGCCTGTTTGAACATGACACCAAGACCTGTCCACACACTCAATCAAACAGACTCCAACCTCTCCACAATGGCCAAGACCACAGCTGTGTAAGGACATCAGGCATAACATTGTAGACCTGCACAGGGCAGGGATGGGCTGCAGGACAACAGGCAAGCAGTTTAGTGAGAAGCAAACAACTGTTTGCGCAGTTTTTAAAAAATGGAAGAAGTTCAAGATGACGTCAATCTCCCTCAGTCTGGGGCTCTGTGCAAGATCTCACCTCGCGGGGCAAGAAAGAAAAGTGAGGGATCAGCCCAGAACTACACAGCAGGACCTCACCCATTCCGTAAAATGTAAAACCAATTTCACATGTAATGTTTCGGCCATTCCGTCCTTCAGCCATGTCAAGTGCCACCCTCATGCCCATATTTTTTTTCCAGGTGCTTCCTCAGGGGATTTACCAGTGTACATGCCCATATTTTGATACCGTATTAGGCCGTTATGCTCGGACTATATGGTTTGAAGGGACAGTGTCCACGAAATGCAACGAGACATTCATCCACTGTCATGTGGGGGCCTGGATTGTAAAAAAGGGTAATTAATGAACACACAGCAAAATTCTTAGAGTTAATTTTCCGGTGTTAGGCAAAAGTGTTGAAGTGCAGAGTTGAAATCATACTGCAAAAAGTTGATTAAACTGTTAAGAGTCAATTGTACGAAAGAGCTGGAGTCATTATCCAGTGTCAAGGACTACATAGAGTGTATTTAACACTGAGCAGATTTATTTGCAACACTTAGTAGAGTTAAATTAACTCTTTGATTAGGTATGAAATGTAGCTGTACACCGCTGTCACACTTCTTGATGTTGGGTTTAACTCTATGTACAGTGTACTTAACACTGAACATATTTATTATTGACACTTATTCTGAGTTAAATTGTTAACGCTTCGTTGAGTGTTGATTTAACACTGACAATATAAACACAAGCTTTGGTCATATTGCAGGTTCCGGTGCCTCCTCTGATAAGAATGAGACCCTCATTGTTGACCCTCCTGTCTCTGCTGAACGACCAGCAAACACACTACCTTCCAAAAATGGAAAGTTGAGCAACAGGGTAGACTTAGTGCTTTGAATGTCATCAAGATGGTACCAGGTCCCACCAGATGCTCTGTCAGCCATGTCTAAAACTTAAACCGGCATTTGAACTTTTCATAATACCATCAATTGAAATTGATATACTTGAGATGACAAATTGATATAGAAATTTGTATGTGGACAGTTGGAAAGACGCAGATGGACCAATTTGCAAGCCTGCATTGGGTTGCTCATTTTGGCATTGCGTACAGGTCAAATGGTAAAGCAACAGCTGCGGACAACGGAAGGGCAATACTTCCTGCTACCATGTCCCTAAACACCTTCCTTGTTTTCTCCTGTGTCATACACCTTGATGACAGAGAAGCAATAGGCAGTCGATCACAAGGCAAGGTATCCGGCAGGGAAAAGGCAGAGACGTAACTCGTTAACCATGCAGGGATCGCTATCAAAATAACTGCTGGAACGCTAGGAACATGGTGTATCAAAGACAAACTGGGCAACAGAGGACAGGAACCCACAGACTAAATACACCGGGTGATGAGGGCCAGGTGCAAACAATCAGGGAGGAGCTGACAATCACCCAGGTGGAACCCACACACATGAGGGAGGGAGTGAGGAGTCTGAAACGAGAGGAGAGGTGAGTAAACAATAACAACACATAACCGAAGAATAAATTATAAATATCCAGCCAACTTAACTTAATAATCAGGGCTGGACATAACACTGTCACCTGATTCGTCACAAATTGGCAAACATATTGTTGAAAATGTTCAATAGTCATCACATATCCTTTGCAGCAATTACGATTTTATCACTGCCACGTATGAAGAAAACATTGAAGCAAATATATTTATTAAAAGATCGCCTTGACCTGGATTCGAACACTGTCAAGCAAAATAAAAATACATTACATGGGTGCTACGCTACACCGTCGGGCACTCAAACTCACTGATATGTTCACTGCTTCATATACTTGTCATTAAATTGAACATCGTCAGTGGCTGGACAACGTTTTGGTTCAGAGTGAACCAAGACAACTGGTTTTTGGTGGCGTATCGTGGAACACTTCCAAACATGTGTATCGATACTTTTTCGCGAGGGTGCAGCCTTGCACCACTAACACATTTGGACAAAAGAGCGTATTCTGTTCGGACTGTCATGCAGTGACGTGAATCACAACCTCTTAAGAAAGTCATTTAAGAAAATATATTTAATGAAAGATCGCCACAATCTGGATTCTAACCCTGTCGAGCAAGATAACAATTCAGGAGCGACTGTGCTTTGTGGTCGGGCAATCAGGATTAAATGTGTCTGTCCATCTTTTTGGTTTAATTGTATACAGTTGTAAACCTTTTGGTTCAGGGTAAACCAAGACAACTGTTTTTTTTCTGGGCGTGTCGTGGAACACTGTGCTTTTTGGCTACGCTTTATACTGTGAAAATACTCAATAATTGTTAACACTAAGCCAGAGAAGGAATGTAATATCAGTAATGTTCTATCCACAAAATGAAGAAATGTACGTCATGATTTACGGCCATTGTAAACGCTGCTTGATTAGAGTTTAAAGCCTTAATCGTCTTCTAAGTAATTTCTTAATGGCTCACAATTTGCAAACAAATAAAAACATAGCTTCACCATGCCTGAATATCTATCAGAGAAAAAACTCCACCAAAAAGGGGGCAATTATAAATTCAATTACATTCATTTTGTCCAGCCCAAAAACAAATATTAGCATTAGAGGGCTTTATAATCGGTACATAGACGACATCCTCTGTCCCAGGACCCTCACATTGAAAAAGAAAAAACTCGACCAAAACCCTTTTAACAGAGAGGAAAGAGTAAGAAACCTGGAAGGATCCTTCTCCGAAGGTGAACATAACTACAATAGATGTCTTGTGTACAGAATGATCATCATAAGAGCTACGAAACCATAAGAGCGCCAAATCCCAATGGATTTCTAGTCCATCGCCTTAACCACTCACCCACGACAACTTTCAAGCTCGAATTCAGGTTCATGGCTCCGTGGCAAAACAGCAGTTGTCATCGACGGAGGTTTTGAGCCCTCATGAAGACAAATTCATTGCAGCCAAAGCTGATTCAGTGGCAATGGTACATTTTTTGGACTCCGCCTCCAGCCTAAATAAGCGAATGAAACACCTACTTGGAATGAAGCTATGCACACAAGAGGGTCATCACTGGAAAACGGCAATAAGGACCCCAGGCTTCCGACGCGGGAAAGGCTTTCCGCCATTGGTATTCCCAAACCTGTCCCTGATGAAAGGCCGACTGGCGGCTTGAACCTCAACCCTTTAAGATAGTGTAAGTGATACAGAGGAAAACATCTGCGATGGCCGGGAATCGAACACGGGTCAACTGCTTGGAAGGCAGCTATGCTTTTTTTTTTTTTTTTTTTATTATCAAAAATTAAATTACATTTTTCAGTTATTCACAAATAATGTAAAACATGTTATGTGTACAGTTGAGATGAACATCGCATTTTTTTTCATCCAAAGTCCAACAGAAGTTTACCATCTCCTCTTATCTTAATAAAGGTGCTACCTTCAATAAAGTCACTGTAAAACACCCCTTTCTTGACAAATTTGTGTATCATGCTTACATCTTTTGTCGTGATGCTCTTGAACATATCCCAGACCTCTGCTCTTCTCTTTTCATAATGGGCAAGGTTCCTCCTCAGCTTCACTGCATACCTGGCATGGCTCAAGGTGTAGTTTAGCAGGTTCACATTACATCCGTTCAGTTTTTCAACCATACAACCATAGCCTCTTCCACTCCATTCTCCCCACAAAATCCCCAACCCAACATCTGCTTATTAGTGTCCTTATTTTTACAAAATAGGTGGCTAGTCCTGTGCATTCAACAAACTCATGCATGCGTGTTT